TAGACCAGCACAAGCCGAGCAGCCGTTCAGTAAGTGTGCGGTGTCCTCACCCCCCCTCCCCCGCAGCTCCACACAGTCCTGGGGGGCGAGGGGGGTCTCTGTAAAAGCAGGTTTTCTAGTGCTCAGCTGACTGGTGGGGGGGGCTCTGCAAGGAGACGGGCTGTGCAGAGTCGCATCATGGGACAGGGGGACGTTGCATTCCCTGTAATCTGCTGGGAGCCTCCTGTGATGCCAGGGTCTCTAATCACATCTGTGGGGAGAGGTGGGTGCAGGTGGGGAAAGATTCCATGGGTCTGACTGTCAGGGGGGCCAGGACCATCCCTAGGGGGTGCAGGGCGGAAATGACGGATTAGTTTCTTCTGGTACCAAGTATGCCAGCCAATTGCACTGGCCCGCAGGGCCCCCAAAAAGCGTGGGGCCTGGAGTGGTTGCCCTGATTTGCCCTCCCCAAGGGACGGCTCTGCTGGGGGCATAGACAGGAGGCATCACACTCTGGCTGCTCTCTGCTTTGCAGCCCTGAGGCCCCTGTAACGAGGGGCCAGGGAGACTAAAGGAAGGACAAAGGTGGTTGAAAACCACCTCCCTCTAACCCCCCTTGTCTTTCCCCCAAGCACAAGGATGGAATCACTGAGACTCAGACTCTGGGTCTGGGGGCCTGGCTCAGCTGAGCTGATCCTTTCACTCTGTCCCTGAACTGGCTCTGTCAGGGTGTGAATCCCCCCTGCCCATGGCTGAGATCTCAGCGCTGCTCCCCAGGCAGAGCTGGGCAAATCCTGGAGGGGGGAGGTTGCCTGATTCACTCCCCATCTGGGGCAGGTTCTGTCACTGACACGATCAAACCCTCCCCCAGGGCTGAGCTCTGCCCCTCACGCTCTGATCTTCTCTCTGCAGTGCACGTGACTCTGGATCCAGACACGGCCCATCCCGAACTGGTCCTGTCTGCGGATCGGAAAAGTGTGAGAAGGGGAGACACATGGCAGGCTCTGCCCGACAACCCTGAGAGATTTGACACTGAGCTCTGCGTGCTGGGCTGTGAGAGATTCACCTCGGGCAGACATTACTGGGAGATAGAGCTAAAGGAAGGTGAAGTCTGTATTGTGGGCGTGGCCAGAGAGTCTGTGAGCAGGAAGGGAGATATCGATTTCAACCCTGAGCAGGGGATCTGGGCTGTGCTGTGCAATGAGGATCGGTACTGGGCTCTCACATCCCCTGATGATCTCAGCCCCTTGTCCCTGAGCCGGGCACCCCGCAGGATCCGGGTTTATCTGGACTATGAACGGGGGCAGGTGGCGTTTTTCGATGCTGGTACCGGGGACCCGATCTTCACTTTCCCGCCGGCCTCTTTCGCCGGGGAGAGAATCCGCCCACTCGTCTCTGGTCCGTTGCTTTTCGTTTCCTTTTCCTCTCTCCCGGGCCCATGCTCTTAGTGTGAGGCTCACAGCGTATCCCTGAGGTGCCCTGTCTGTGCCCACGAAACAGGCTCCTCTAGCTCCCACCGTCCTGATCTCTATGACCTGGAGGACTCAGCCAGTCTCCCGCCACACAGACAGGGCTGAAGGGGAGTGACGCTCTACCTATAGCTCTATGGCTGTGGAGGTCTGTGTGAGGCTCTAGGCTGGGTCTCTATGCTCTTAGGAGGCCAACTCGGTGTGGAGTGGGGCGGGGGGTCCCACCAAGGAATGAGGGAGCCCCCCTGTGGGAGGGACCCAGCCAAAGGCCAGGAAGAGACTCCTCAACTGGGGGGAGGGGAAAGCAGGGGGGAGGCCTGGCTGAAGAGGCTGGGGGGGAGCAGGGTGTGTGTGTGTGTACGAGGGGCGAAGGCTGGAATTTTCAAAAGAACCGAAGTGACGTAAAACGAATTGCTTTTCAATGGAACTTGTGCTGCTAAGTAACTTCAGGTGGGATTTTCAAAAGCACCTAAGTCATGTTTACCATTGTGCTAGTTTTAATGGGTTAATATGTTTTCTAGAATAATGAATTTTCCCCGTGTAAACAAACTGCTTCTGTTCTCCTAGTCACCTTATTAAAGTCCCCCAGTACATGGACCTGAGAGGGCAATTTGTCTATTAAAACTTTCTGGAAAGCACTGGTTTGCTGTGTGAGGTGTATTTTGAGACAGAAACAAAAGGTTGGTTTCCATATGAATTTTACCAAAAGTAATTTAAAATGAAAAGAGACCTGAAAGCCCAATCAGTTCCCTT